CCCCACACACACACACACCCCCCTCCTACAGATGAATCAAGCTATTTCCCATACACACTGGAAAGGAGAAAGATAGTTATTTCTGTTTTGAAGCACTGGTAAAATGATAAGATTTATATACTTTGGTAGGTATACTGTACTCTCATATATCAATGATGGATTTCAGCTTCCATATGCTACTCTCCCCACATGAATGAAAATTCCCCTACTAAAGAGAACTTTCCAATTACTTTATACAGGAAGAGCAGCATTTCTGAACTAACATTTACTGAGTCAACATGAACAAAATTCTGTTCTAGCAATCAAATGGATTTAGAAAAGAAACTTATCAAGCTACAGGAACTGTTAAGTGATCATTCTAGAATATAAACAGACAATAGCCAATGAAACAAGTTTATTAGAAAAAACTGACAGTCACACAGTTGAACAACTAAAAGGCTGCTAAATATTATCCAGTCAAAAGGAATGTAAATATGATTCTCTCCAGCATAAAAACCAAGTCTAAGTTATTTGAACAACCACAGAATTCAGAACTAGTCAAAGTGATTTTGTCTTAAGTTTTCTATGGGCTTTTAAAGGTTGAACCTCTCTAGTCTGGCACATGCTGGTTTGGCAACATGTGTGCTCTGGGTAGCTGGATGTCCACTTGTCATGGGTGTGGCCAAGTTTCCCATAAAGTCTGGTTACAGCCACCAGTCCCGGTTCTCAGTGTTCTGTGTTATTGAGCTCTAATTTACCCCTAAATATCTTTTAAGAGCCCAGTAAAGCAGGGGAAGTGTTGCTAATGCTACTAGGCAATATGGATCTCCTGTGTCCAGAAAATTCTCTGGCTCGGCACTGGTCAGTTCCTGAGGGTGCTGTACTAGAGAGGTTCAACCTGTACTAACAGGCAAGGTTCTCTCTATTTTTTTTCCATCCATGGGCATAATACATTATGATACATGCACCGAGGTATGGGCAGATGTGCACCACTAACAAACGCATGCTACCCAACTGTGGGTGCTCTGCTAATCTCTCCTGGGTGGCTACCCAAGTGCCCAGTTTACAGAGAACATTGCTGCCAGGTAACATGTTACACTGGCCTAGCTACAAAGTGAAAGACAAAGAAAATGGTAATTTTGGCTACAATACTATTAGCACATACGTTTATAACCTGCGGATACTTCGCTTCACTAGCTGCCAGCTTAGATGTACACTAAATATAGACTTTTCTTGTAACATTAAAATGAAATTTGTGACACTTGTTCTTGCTTGTGGCCTCCTTTGGAACACTAGAATCAGACAGGCAACAGTACATGTTTTAAACTCTTTTAGAAGGAGCCCTATGCATAAGAGTATAACACTAGCTGCTTTGGAATCAGTTTCACTGGCAAAATAATAGAAATTCAAGACTTCTCTGAAACGCTAAAAGACTCTAGTTCATAAATATCACACCAATACAATAGTTGATTCTTTTGAATAAAAACATCTTTCAGATTATGTTCAAGGACTTGGGTACACATCAAAATATAAATCCCTGTCCAAAACCTTGAAAAAGATATCATATTTATCAAGGTGTTAAAACATTTATCTTGAAACGGTAACAACCTGTAAAAGTGGACACTATGAAAAACGTAAGCAGATCCAAAAACCCCAATAAGTAAAAAAGTAACATACAATTTCCTCTAAAACAAGTTTACAATAACTTGCAAAATGAAATAAACCATTTCATAATGCTCAAGAACAAGATATAAATCTACACTTATGCAGATATCAAAGCCCCAATACATAAATGGACCTCTGCTGGAGATGCATGAAGGCAGTCATGATTCAACTCCACATTTAGATTCAAGCCACTAGTATAACCAGCAAAATAATGTATATTGCATTCATGAAGTATGCAAGACACTTTACAGACCACAAAAGTAACAGTTCCTGTCCCCCCCAAACAAACAGGCACAATTCAAAAGGGAAAAGAAAAGGAAGGAGGCGGCAATGTGGGGGATGGAAGGGAATGATAAAAAACAAGAACAAGATGCGGTTGCAAAGATTATTTCACATTATTACATATCTTGATAGGTTTATGTGCTTTAGCTTTTGTATTAGATCTTGTATTTAGAGGAGCATTCAATGGGATTCAATTACAAACCACAAGTGGTGCAAAGAGGGGTGACTGAAGGGCTAAAGATTGGGGGAGGTGGAAGAGGGAAGAAAAAGTGAGAAGCACAGAAGCCAGGGAGAGAAGCTGGGCAGAGAAAGGGCAGTAGTGGTAGAACAAGGGCAGGATAAGGTTAGGGCCAATATCAGCGGCAAAACAGTAAATGCAGATAAATCCCAAAAGTCTGCACAATCTTGTGAGGGAAGAAAGACAGAAAGCTCTGGGGACCTGCCCCTCCTGCGGAAGCTGCTATTGGCAAACTAAAATGTTTGGGCACTTCAGGTGGCTAGGATCTTTTTGTAGGCTTCTGCTGAAGTCTACTTTGCTCAGATGGAGCAAGAGTAGAGGGGCAGGGCCCAGGACTCAGAGGGTTCTACTGGGGCTGGGGAAAGGACAGGAGTATGGCAGGTCCTAGAGATAACCCATTCATCATCTTTCCTGCTAGACCAACTGCAGCTTGCTAACTGGTGACAGGAGATGCTTCAGGCAGCCAATGCATTATATAGGGAAGCTCAGGATATGCTGCTTTAATGGGCAACCTTGGGACGTATTGCTTTAAAGGTGGTAGGTAGACAGTTTGAACTGAGAATGAAGGTAAAAACTTAAGAAATTAAGTGAAATGTGTTGCAATTTCTAGAATCAATCTAAAAAAGATGTCAACTTGTACCTTGATAATGAGCCAATGGACTATTTGGAAGCTTGGGATGCCAATTCAGGGAAAAGAAACAAAGTATGCTTTCTAGAACTCAACCTTGAACAATAATGTCAGTGAATGAAAGTTTAGAGAGAGTATTCTTCCTTTTATAAAATTAAATATAACTCATGAAATTAAAAGGAAATAAAAAAAACTTACTGTAATTGGTACATCCTTTGTTCCTGAATTTAATAAATGTAGATTTAAAATTTTTGGCATATCTGTTAAAAACAAAGACACATTAACTATCCGGTCTTACTACTATACAATCTATCACACAAAAAAGGAATCTGTTCCAACTAGAGTTCTGCATGATCAGCCATTATTTAATTTGAAATCTGTTTTAAAACCAGGTCAACCACTCACAACCTTGTTATTCATAAGAGCATGTTACATTTTTAAAACTATGCTTCTATGTATTAAGTAGGTTGTGTACTTTAATCATTCTGATTTCTATATCAAAAAGAAATCAGCAGGTTAATAATGTTACAATGAACAATTGCAGATCTGCTGCACCAATATTCACAAGACTGAATTTACATTATCCCATATGAAATGAAAGAATCAAAGTAACAACATTTCAGAAGCAATGTCACCAAAACAAAACAAACCCACCACTACTTCTGTCTTTTGCCTTTCCACCAGAAATAATTTTTTGTTAATACTGCAAGTTACCATCATCTCAGAAGAATGACACTATATTGCTTTTTCTGACATATATGCTGAATATTAACCGATTCTCTGCTAACATATAACCTCTAACTATATAAACATTTGTGCTAAGATTTCATAATCATGCAACTGACCTAATCTTCATTCATTTGAATATAAGTCAGAATAGGAAATTCAATGAAGTCAGAACAGTGGTTTTTGATCTGTGGTCCGCACTTCCTTTTGAAATTTTTAAGTGTGTACAAATGAAAAATACTGAAAATTCATATTTAACATTAAAGTCTTAAGTCACCTACAAAACTAAAAGCCCACTCAAAAGTTAAGGAGGTCAACTGTATGGGCCTTGTTACCAGAATTAGGTGTGTACAACTATGCAGGCTAATCTCTCCACGATAGCACCATTATTATTTGTAAATTATTTGCATATGCACAGATTCATTTAACTGACTATCTGTATGCCCAGATAACATTTTTGCACACAAGCTTGGATCTGATGTGATTGCAGATGCCAAGGGTTTGGGTTTTTTTTGTTTGTTTCATCTGATGTTAGGTTTTGTGGATGCCTATTTTGCCTCATATTTTTTACTACATTTTAGATGGTTAATTATTGGGGGGAGGGGGGGAGTTTATTTTAAATGGCATTTGAAAAAAGTTGCGTCTCATATATAAAAGTTTCTCCTGATTTGCAACACAAT